GCAACGTCGCTCATCCCCCCATACCTCACCGCTTGATGAACTCACTCGTCAGCCTCGATGCGTGCCGAAGATATATCTCTATCATTTTTGACGTTTTGATTGGTATTTCCGTCAGCCGCATACTACTTGACTTTTTTGACATACAGTCTTAACTATTTTACGATTCAAGTAAGCATGCTTGACCATGCCATAAATTAGTCCCGCATTTTGTTGATCGTAACGTTAAATGATTTGTTATCATTGATCTGGTCAAAGCGGTGAGATTTATCAACTTTTTTGGTCTTGGCTTTCAATGTGTACGAGAGAGAGAGCGAGAGAGAGAGAGAGAAGCGTGCAACACGAATGTTAGAAAGAGTGCGCCCTATTAGCGTCGGTCTCACGTTGCCTGGTAACGACAAGGGGGGGGGGCGTTGTCACCCTATAGCCGTGCTCCGCGTCCACCACTACTGCTGTGATATGCTTTTTAGTTCATTTCGTTGAACCAGTTCAATAGATTGTGGTTACTAAAATCGCCGGAGCTAAGCAGCGTCGGGCGCGGTTAGTATTTGGTTGGATGCCCGCTTGGGGACACCTCATATTGTTGATCTTTTTTGGTTTTTCATTTCTTTTGATAGATGGATGTTTCAAAATTAAGTAGTTCATCTAAACTGTCACTCACACAGAAGATGTAACTATGAGATACACACATTTTCTAACAATCTCAAATAATGTGGGATACACTTTTATTTTCACCAGTTCAAAGATTTTTGATTAATAATACATACCTTTATTTAGGATTACCAGATGTCCTCCTTTTGGGAGAACGAGCCTCTGTTTTAGAATCGTAGATCAAAACCAAGAATAAAATGAAACGAAGAACAAGAAAACAGACTGAGACCTATGGAACCATTTTGACCTTGAGTAGAACGTCTTTCCAGACTTCAAAATTCAGTTTATCAACTGAACCGCTTTCGCATACAACAGAGGATCCTCTGAAGTGATGGCAGGAAAAACAAAACTCTGTTCTAGATTTGAGATGGCTAAAAAACTTGTGTGTCTTTTTTCGAAGGCTGGGCAAGTCTCGACAGAAAAAAGGCATGACTGGAAGCCAAAGTTTAAAAAATAATGTTTTTAAATGGAAATTTGTAGTTACTTTACATTTTCATTTTTGTATTGTTTTAATTTCTTCACTAGCCTAAATGGGTGATATATATGGTATACAAATTAGCTAATCTTTGTTTTTTCAGCCTTTGTAACTAACAGCATTTGCTATCATCTTTTTTAATAACTTCATCTCATCCTGTCCGATATGCTTGAACTAAACCACGATCGCATCCAGGCAACCAGCTATACAATCTTCTACTTACTTGGTTGCTTATAGTGGTGCCCCGTCTCCTATCTCGGTCGTTCGTTCACTCATAATTAGTTTGCTTGGATCATCGTTCGTGTTGATCGAGTAAACGAATTTTTCGAGGAAAATGTACTAGTTCACTTAGTTCAGTCATGAGGATCGTTCGTGTGATCTAGTTCTTTCGCGAACTATACACATCACTACACTACTGTCGGTGCCAACCAACGTGATGACGCCTATAATCATTCTAACATATGCGTTGCATTGGTGTCGCAAGCTTCTCTCTCTCGTACACATTGCAAGCCAAGATCACAAAAGCAAATGAATTTCAGTTGAAGCGAAATTCTGAATAGAACTTACCTGCCTACCCCTGAGCGAGCACAACCACCATCCCTCGATGTTGGCCGTGTTCTGTTCAAGCACGATAAGGGTGTCGCCCTTGCGAAACTGCAACTCGTCGGGGGTGTCGGGAATGTTGTCGTAAAGGGCACGCGCCAGGCAGTGTTGCTGTGGACAAAAGGAATGTGACCATCTAAATTTCGATCATAATTTATAATAGGCCAGTGGCATATGCCGAGGCAAAGGAGTGAGTAATCTCCGACTGCGAAGGTGTTACACCAGGTGTAACAAAAGTACCGTGTGATAGGCCGTCAAATTCTAGTAAAAAAGTTCATATAAACGTGTGTTCTAAAAAGTCTGGTTTCCGAGATACAGGGTTTCAAACTTGATTTGATCTTATTTTAATAACTTCTCGACATGTAATGGAGTTGTTTTTATTTCTTTCCTCGAAAACGAGCTAGCATACCAAGAGATTTCTGGAGACAAAGGTATTGTCATAAGCTGATTAATTCGAAAAATGATTTTTTTATAAAAATCAGTGGCATATTTCTTTGTCAATATCATTTCTGAGACTGTCCCTCTAGTCGCCGCTGGAATTCATGAGTATCTTTTAGTTAGTGCAAAGTTAACATCTTATTACAAAGAACCGTACTGCCAAGATTCAACATAATCTTTAAGATATTGATAAAAGACCTTTTTCTTAACTTTGACACCATTTATCTTGAAACCATACTTTTTAAGACACAAATTTATATAAAGATTTCTACTTGAATTTGGCTCAGGAATGCGCCTTTGTAATTCATTGAGCATCATTAAGTAACACCCCTGCACTGTAAGTGCATTTTTTCAAGTGAGGTAATTTTGAAAAACGTTAAGATCTATGACCGTATAATTGACCTTGAGCTATTCAGCTATTTCAATGTCAACGTTTGCTTTTTAAATAGAAGACACCCTTTTTGACAGCGGCATTCGAAAGAAAGGAATATTTATTAGAATCAAAGACCAAGATCACCTCTGAAGGTCATATAAAGGTTGAATGTGTGAAGCTAGGTAGAACTACTAGAAGTTTAGCAGAATTATTGATGAAAAAAAGGTTAGGTTTTCAAGAATTTCAATATTGACCTTGAATTTCACCTCGAGCCTCACCTTCAAGGTCATATTAGTATATGTTCTATATGAGAACATATACTATATGAGAACATATACTATATGAGAACATATACTATACGTAAAATTTTTTGCTACCGGTGGCAAAGATGGAGGCTCCCAGTTAAAAAAAGTTGACCTTTAAATGACTGAATGTTGGAGCCTAGGTCAAAATTGAAGACGTGAAAGCTACTAAGCGAGACATTTTGTTTAATACAAGTCTCCAAATCTTAAAGGCCTTCCAAACGGTAATACACTATTGATAAAGTTGTAGGCAAATTCGTCAATTTTCCGATTTTAAGTCAAAAGTAAATGTACTCGTAGATTCTTCGCTTATAAAGTGCTGCTCAGGAGCTTCAAAATGAGGTATAACTCAAAACTAGCGCTGTAAATGAATAAGAACAACCACCGCAATTATGGCCTCCAGCAAATGACATCTAAAAAATGCACGCTGACCAAATAATAAATGCTTCGTGACGGAAATACTTAATCAACCTAAACACACATGAGTTCGCGCAATACAAAGAGCAACAGCACACAAAGCATGTGATATCACAGCATACAAAATGAAAATGCATCTGTCGTAAAGCTGTGGGCTGGATAAAATATTCTCTTACGATTGTTGCCTGTTATTTTCTGTGTACCCCGACATTAACGTCACGTTCCTTTGTTTCGACAAATTTAATAAATTGCCACCTATGTTACTTTGGAACAGCTATGGGTTTTAAAGTGCTCTGGACGAGTGGTTTGAAAGTCTGTTGCATCTTTTATTGGACTATTATTTTTAGTGTCATTTTAAAGGCATGTGGGTGCGATCGAATGGCGAAAATACAGCTGATAGTAATATTTATTTAGCAATAACTTTGTAGTATAAAAAATAAAATAGTATCAGCAGCCCCGACAGAACAGGGGATATTGAAGAGTGTCTGCATCATCCACAACGTTGTAGTGGAGGATTATGCTCATCTAAAATACATCCTGAAATTACCTTGGCCCACGAGCCCCACGATGGAGCAACATTTCGGGCCTGATTTTTTCGTGTTTTTTTCTCAATCAAACTGAACCAGGCGAAACTTTGTAATTGCTAATGGTAGATAAATACAGCCTCTGCAAAGTCTAGTCTCGGATTCGCTATTTATTTGAAAAACTGCAGTAGGACTATCTATTTTAGTCTTTGGTACATGACCTGTTAAAATCGCTGTGAATTTTTTTTAAATCGACGATGTTTAAGGCCCGTATCGTCAGTCGTCCCTACAATTGTAGGGCGCGTTTATGGCCTCCTTGATTGTCATCCTCCTTTCTCTCCTTCAAAAATTTCTAGATTACACTTGTCCCGTGTCAGCGTCTGCGCTCTCCTATTGTGAAGATATGTTTTCTTTTTAAATTGTAGGAAATTTCAGGCTGATAAAACATGATATAACTCAAAAGCAAGCACAATTTGATGCAAATAGATGTTTGTACATAACCTCAAAATAGAGTTCTGACACGGAGAAGCAGAAAACTGTGACAATCAAGGAGACCATAAAGGCCTTAGGGCCTGAAAAAATAAAACTAAAAAACGATGACTGCACTAGTGAGCCTGTGACGACGGACAACGTTTAGATAGACGCGTATCGAAGATCTCCATCATTCTAATTTTTGATGGTAAATGTATGGGGAATTCTGTGTTGTGTAAAATACACGAAATCGGTGCGTTAGAAGCGCCTAAGTAAATTATCGCCAAAAATTGAAATATACCCTCCTCCACCACCACCAAACCCCAACCTCCAAATCTCAACCCCTCCAAAGATATTTCTGAAAATTGCAGGAGCCTCTGAAAAAATGGAGTTTGTGCGTTTTCTTTTTTTTTTACCCTCAGCTCCGTTCGAGGAACCTTTAAATGTCTTACGCCAAAGTTACTCATAAGGCTATTACAAAGTCCCTCTGCTCCACAGATAAGGGAAAAATTATACATACACTGATAAGTTTCCTATTTTTCTTACTCTGTAGTATCCCCTATTTCTGAACTATCTCACAACACCACATTTTTAGGTACTCTCAAAATTCAGTCCAAACTGCACTAAACTGAACAAGTCTATAACTTTAACAGCACCATTACTTCAAGTGGGATGGCGTTCAAAACTACTTGCGTCAACTTGCGTGGGTATGGCTTCAACATTTATGACATTCTTCGCACAAGCCAAACATGGAGAAGAATGGCAATTCTTTCGCCGAAAAGGATGACATTGATTCTTGTTTCGGTATGTTTTGATAGTAAATCTATTGGGTCAATGGCAACGTAACATTACATTTCATTACGTCATGTTCCTGAACAACGATGTACAAATATTTTACTAGCTTAAAAATAACACAGGCGGACAAAACTGAGCCGACCCTCTTACCCAGTATATACTTTTCCCCTTGTGATATTCCATTGTTTTACCCGAACCCTCCCCCCTTTCACATGATTGATGGACGACCCCCATAGGTCAAGTTCCAATCAGAGTTGGCTGTGACAACCGAATCTCGCCCAAGATCTCACATTTGTTATTAGAGTACCTAATGCAGGCTGGGATGGATCAGAAGTTTTTCTCTAGCTTTCCTTGGAGAGATGTACAGGGGTTGGACAAAATAATATGAACATCTGACATATATTTACACAATATTTATTTATTAATAAGGTGTGGGGCCAACATTTGCTTGTAGAACAGCTGCAATTCTTCGCGGAATAGACTCGTAGAGTGTATGAATAGTTTCTAACGGAATCATGTCCCATTCTTCTACCAAAACATCCGCTTCAATGATGTCGGAGATGGAACTCTGCTCCTTATTATCTGCTCTAAAACTGCTCACAACGGTTCAATTATGTTGAGGTCTGGTGATTGTGCTGGCCACGGAAGATGTTTGATGATACTCTGATGCTCCTCAGACCAAAACTAAACCTCTTTGACTATGTGTATGGGCGCATTTCCATCTTGGAATATAACAGTGTTTGGCAGCAGTATGCTAGTCGTAGTAAGAATTTCATATTCATTCGCAGTCATCCGGTCTGTGATATGATTGAGATGTTTTACCATGTTTTGTGTATGCTGTCATTAACGTCGATAATGTCGCTCGTGAGACGTTAAACAGTTCAGCAGTTTTTGGTCACAGACGCTTCCGCTAACCGAACACCAACGATTTGTCCTCTTTCGAAGTCTGAGAGATTACACATTTCACAGCTAATGCAATGAAATATAACCTACAAGACCAGCCACGTAAACTGTGCGTTACATACCCGGCGAATTATTTTCACGAAAGCAGTGTTGCCAACATGCAAAAAACTGTACTATATTGCATGGTGTTCATTATATTTTGTCCAACCGCTGTATATTAGGGTATCCCAGCCTATGAGGGCAAACAAATTTTTGTTCGAATTGAGATACGCATACCCTCTATTTTTTCCATTTGACTCTAACAACTCAAAAAATAAATATTATCGCAATCGTGTCGTGCGACTTTGGATTTCAAAACCTAATTTTTATTCTACAAATAAAACACTGCTTTATTTGTATCTTATATTTCTTAGATATATATCATTGAAATAACATTGTTTGCTAAATTTTCTTTTCAAAGTTTTCTTATATATACCCGCCTGTGTTCTTGTATTTAACGTAAAAAAAATATTTTTCTTCTTTATCAGCAGTGATTAAGCCATGGAAGTCGCGCATCAACCTGGCTGCTCTTTCTGCCGTATCGCTAACTGCTCTCAATGTTTGTACCTTATTTTCAGCATGTTGAAAAGAATCATTAGACGGCCATGAAGTTGGACACTTGTCGAGAAAATTGTCATCAATTTTGAGACGACTGAACAAGGACTTGGTTTTTACTGAAACAGTTATCGATATTTTTCTCTGAAATCAAAAAACAAACCATAGCTACCATCTAAACATACTGGTTCTGTCCATCCGACCACAGATAGTCAGCCATGGACAGATGTTTTGTGCTTTTTAGCAACTCGTCAGCATAGTCCAGGTTTGGCCTCAGGTCAGGACAACGAACGAAAGCATAGTAACTATCCTCTATCTGAGGTATAAGTTCTATCGAAACAAGACATTATAAGGTGCCATCTATTGCCAGGATCGCAGTTTATGCTGGCTTATTTTAACAGTTAGCATATTACCTATATCGAAGCAGTAAACTAAGACAAAGGAAAATTTATTCATCAGACTTACCATAAAGCGGGCCAGAAAGTTTAATTTTTACTTTATTTTCCTCATTTACGTAGTCGTCAAACAGAGATAAGTCAGAGACCTCATCTGTCAAATACCATAAATGTTGGCAGAACTTTTGTAAAGCTGCTTTTGAAATGGTTTTGTCAATTCTTTTGTAAGCCATCATTGCCTTTAAAGCCTGGTTATGTGCTTTTACCGCTGAAGTGCATTGCAACCACGGTTTCACGTATGTTGTCACGATGAACAGGCAGATATCTAACAGAGCTGCCTTATCCTTATTAGAAAGTTTGAGCGTTGAACTTAGTAACACTATTTTTACTGAATAGATTGCTCTGGCCATCCATCTAACTTGATGCATGGAGCCTGGCAGTCGAATATTAATTTTTTTCTCTGTCAAGGAATATTATTGAAAGTTCTATTAACTCTCGATATTCGTCTCTAGCAACTTCTTTGGCCAATTCAGGTCGATAAAATTCTAGCAGCTTGTCACTCTCTGAAATATTCAGGCATGATAGCTTTTCAATATAAATCTGTATTATCTCGGAGTCCACACTTTTCGAGCTCTTGCGGAACTTTTTAAACACTGAAATGTCAGGGCTTGTAGTCACTTGGTCGATGTTTAATTCAAACACGCCTTTTAACACCAATTCGTAGACATGATGGAGGCAAACAAAAATAAGCATTTCTTTATTAAGTTTCTGTTTGAGAAGCACGCAGGTACCTTTAATGCGACCCGTATTTGAAGTAGTAGTATCACGACACAGTTTCTGAACTTTATCTCCAAGATTCCAGTCAACAATGGCATCTCAAACTGCCTGAGCCTGCTCGCTGCCTGAAGAATTATAGAATTAGGGCACAGCGATAAGTTGCTCTTTATTTTCATATATTAGACGTTCTTCTTTAGACCTACGTGCATTCAAAGGTGGTAAGAATTTGCAATCCCAGTGGACAGTTACAGTGTGCTCTACCTCGCTTTGGAAATCAAGCTTTATACCTGCTGCGCGCTCCTTTCGCTTGTCGGTACGAATTCCTTGAATGGAGGTCTTGCTTATAGGAAGCTCGTCAGTGTTATGTGCAAGTGCCTCAATATTTGCAGCATTTCTCATAGTTAACTGACACCTATCTAATGCTGCCACTAATGTTGGAGTTATGAAAGTTTTCCTCATTTGACTTTGATTAGTATCAGGCTGTGTGCTCCGAGTTGGGATGGGCAAAGTTTCTTGTAAGTCCATCTCGGAATCTGAAGACTAATTTTCTTGCACTGGTTCATAAGATGATGGAAGAGTTGAGGAAGCATCATATTTAGCTCGTCGCTTTTATTCTTCGGTGTTCATAAGACGCGCCTTTTCTTATTTTATGGCCAATTTCTTATACAACCCAGCTAAATGACCAGGTCAACCTTAGAAGATCCTATCTTCGTCCGTGTGGCGTTCCCCCTTTCCCATGTGTCCCCCTATAGCCCCACGGTACCCAATGGGTGCTTAGGCCTTAGGCCTTCGTGGTAGTTCGAGTATAAAAAAAAAATTTCGTTGCTCAAACACTTCTTGGTATAAAGTAACTAGTTTCTTAACACAGTTAGGTAGAGATTTAGTCGGTATGCGTGCCTTTTACCAGTAAATAATGCACTCACGAATAGTACTTGTCCATTAGAGGGAAATTTTGAACCGGTAATTTGATGCTTTACGTCCCAAATTAAAAATATTCCCTTTTTAGAACTGTGTAATTCCTCCGACATGTTGACTACACTAAAACAGTGCGTTTACTAATAGGACAAACGAGCACTGCAACGTTAGCTACCGCGCGCCTAATATGCAAGTTTTATGTTCCAACGCAACTCGGCATGGGTTGCGCTGATGACGTCGAGTAGGTTGACTCTGCATTTCCCACGCGATGTTGTCATCAGTTCATAACTTATGTTCCGCACAAGTTGGCCGTTTTCTTCATCTTTTAGAGGTTTTCTATAAAACTACTACCCATTTTCGTTGTGATACCCTTTATACCTCCCCCAGCGGCCTATCGCCTCCAATTTTTTTACCGCTTAAAAAATTTCACAAAGTCTCCGAACAATCAAAAAACGAAGCTTGGCTGTAACGGTTTCACCGTCCGATCGTATTTATTAAATCACTTCTCGATTATCATTTCATTAATCCCATCTCTAGCTTTTTTTTTTCACTTGAGCCGCCGATCGAACAACGGCTAGAAATTTCTTCTCAGTAGCACAAGGTTATATAGCACCATGTGCTAGAATTTTCTAAAATGTGTGTCCGTATAGGACAAAAATGATTGGGGCCACCCCCTTTCTCTTTCCCTTTCACTTTGCCTAGCCTTGGCCAATATTTTCACCCATGCATGTGCCTTGGCAGCGCCATCGCCTTTAACTTCGCCTACAACTGGTTACGAAGCCACTATATGTGAGGTCACCCCTCACAACTGGGACCTCCCCTTCAAGCCGCTGGCCATCCTGGCTTCAGTCGAGTAAAAATGGACCAGCGAAAGATAAGTCGATAGCGTTATAGCAGCGCCAAAGATGTAAAACTTATTTTGTTATTTTTGTAAAATTGTAATGTAATGAAAATGCCTTTTTTTTTTGTTAAATAAAATCTGTTAAATTTTTGTGTTCTGTTTGTTCTTCTATCCTCTAGCCATGCCATGGTCGACACACAGCTACACGCCTGTAGATGTCTTCATGCCACCGACTGAGCTACCGGAAGCTAATTGTAACCCCCTTTCTGTGATTGTGCAGAAAAGTTGGAATCTTCATTGCATTCCATCTTTTCTGGACTTTTTGCGGAAAGGAAGCGTTACATAAATTGGCACCCGCAACGTGGGGCTTCGATAGGTGTTTGGCTTTGTCGACAAGTGGTTTGCTAGGGGAAGATTGGCAGACAGAACATAGTTTTCAAAATTCTTTACAATCTTTGGCAGCATTTCTATTTTTAATTGCTTTTGGTACTCAAATTTCTAATTCCTTAATCATCCTTACTTTTTGCTTAATGTTTAAAATTTTTATCAAAAGATTAAAATTTTTCCACCTGTTTGTTTCATAG